TGTGACAGCATGCCCACTGTAATCGTATTACTGCCACCTTAGGGGCTGAACAGAGAAATTTTGTGTCTTGTTAAATGTATTGCGATTAAAAATTGAGCGCTTGCACAAGTTTGAAAATTGAAAATGTATTTTAACAGTCCAGCCCTAATTCACAGAAAGGATAGGATGATTACTCAAACCACATAATTTTAAAACTTTTAGAGTTTCTCTTAGAACGTATTATAATCATAATATGGTGTTTCTTAATCAAAACAAGTTAAGCATGCAATTTAAAGCTTTAAATAAACTAATTTAGGAAAACTGTTAGATGCTGGATGAAAGGAATATCTGAGGTCATTTTAAACAATTTAAAGCTTGACATAAAAAAGTGATAGATGATAGTAAATTAATTCAGGAATAAAGGAAAAATGCTCCAGTCAAAAACACATCTGAGGAAGATGGAGGATCATCATCTTCATCAGCAGAGGGGACAGATGGTGCAGAAGAGGGAAGTCATAAATCGTTAAGGGGTTATAAATCATTTTGCATGAGGTGTCATCTATCATTTCACTAAACAAGTCACTAAACAGTTTTTGTTCCTTTTTTATGTATCTTTTCTTTATATATTAAAAATTATCTGTTAAACAACATCAAACACTGGTATGGAAATCACATTGCATTGTATATAGTCTATTACTTGTTTCTGAGGTGAGATTTTCCAGACTCCTGGATGAAGTTAGGTTCCTTGAAGATAGCTTCGTCCATGCCGATCTCTCAATATTTTCAGCATAGCCTGATAAAAAAAAAAGTACTGTCAAATATTTGGGCAGAATTGGCATACTTACCTGTATAGTTATTAGAAAACACTTAGATTACTGCCCCCATTTGTATTAGTTTTGTTATAAATAAGGTAAGTAACAGGATGTTAATGATGGTGATTTGCAAGAACCATTGTTTGTTCTGATTCAAAACCTAGGGAAATCTTTGCAGGACAGTAAAATATTGTTTTACATTTATTCCTATTTGATCATGAATATTACTAATTAGAATTGAAAATCATCAATAATTTATCCTTCTAGTCAATATAAACCCTAACAAAAAATACTTTAGATAGTTGTGATTAATGTTTACCAGCCTTTAATTGCTATCATTAACAACCGGTATTATCAATTAACAATAAACCCATTCATTTACCAGCAAATGTGGATATTTAAACAGGTTATGGACCCAGGATTAAATCAATTACCACTAAATTTAATGTCTGAAATGTTAAATCTCTAACTGCAATGAACAATTATTAACCAAACCACAAGAAATGTATTCAAATAATCAAGTTGTTGACCCAAGACAGTGTTCAGTACTTGCCCACGAAACAACAGGTCAGCAATAAAAAATAACCACAGCCACATAGAGTAAAATCTATTAAATGAATAATTACCTGTAAAAAGCAATTCATCTGTTCAACAATACGACTTATACAAACTAAACCAGTAAAAGAAGGAACACAAAGAACCCATGCCTCCTTAAATGGAGTGCACATTTGTCCATGCGTCTTCTATTGGAAGAAGCATGGATTCTTTAATAAAAATGTGAAACAGCGAAGATAATGTTGAGAGTGGATGAAATAGGGAATGCTATTGAGAGGTTTCTGGGTGGCTTTTAAAAACCCATTTTCATTTAGCCTTAGAAGGATGGGGCGCCTCTTCGGCTCTCCACAACCACTATTGAGCTTTTTTTTTTCTATGGATAAACTTTACATGCACAAGTTCACCCTCACAAACAATTACAGGTGCTTGGCTCCAGGAACTCTGAGATTCACTTCCATACAGAAACCCCACATTCATATCTTCAGGTAACACAGAGTACATGTCAGACTTAATAATACTACTTCAGTGATAGTTTCAAGGTGTTGCTTTATTGTATGTCTTGTACCATGTCCTTCAGTTGTGCTGTTCTTTTTTCATCTCGTTACAGGTGATGAAGCAGATGGAAAATGTTTTGTAATTATCTCCTTTCTATCTCTTCTTTCTTTCACCTTTTCTCTTTTTTTTCTTTTTTCCTTTTTCTTCTTCTGTTTTTCTGCTGTATTTACATTGCAGTGTCCATATAAACTGTAAAACTCCCTGCATAATTATAATAAAACAATTTATATGCATAAAGCAAGTGAAAGTAAAATCTGTTGGGCTCTTTTTGGCATCAAGACAATTATTCTTATTGCCAAATTGCCAGACAGGACACTGTAAAAAAAAAAAAAAAGAAGGATGGTTCTGTGGTCCTTCCTGTGGTCCACTGATCAGCCGCAGCCTATAATAATTTAACTCTATTTTTGTCACATTGAAGAAATTTACCTCTGTGTTTAACCCATGCCCATGGGGTGCAGTGGGCTGCCATCGTGGGGAGCCTGAGGAGCAATCAGGGGTTAACGGTCTTGCTCAGAGACCCAGAGTGGCAGCCTGTGGGATTGGGTTTCAAATCACAACCTCAAGATTCTAAGTTTTACACCCTAACACTAGGCCACCACTCCCTTAACAAGCTTGTCAGGCTTCACCTTGAAAATTGCCTGGCCAGAGAAAGCATGGTGATCCACAAGGATCCACTACAGACAACAGAGGCATGGTGAAACGGTGGCATTCTGGAGCTCAGACAGGAGCAGCAGTAAATCAGTGGTCTTTACACAGCCACATCATTCAATTCAATTCAGCCACATCATTT